TACACACCATAGCTTAAATGGCTTACACGGCATATCGTTCATGGCATAGTTCACGCCGCATAGCTTGCCCCACAGCGCGTACACAACAAGACTTGCACCACACAGCATACACAGCGTACCGTCAAATAGAAAACGCCGCATTACACAGTTTTCACCACACAGCTCATACCACGCTGCACACACCACATAGCCCACACCAGAGCTTACACGCAACAAATCTTACATATCGTAGCCTCAAACCACATAGCTCACACCGCATAGCTTGCACAGCACAGCTTTGTATTCCCACAGTGCTGGCAATTACTGTTTGGGGCCCACGCTGGCGTACCGATGCTTGTACACGCATCTGTCGATTCTGGAGGACTGCGGCGTCTGAGGTATTGCTATCACGTGCTTGTCATCATCCTCCTCCGCCTCCTCCCTCCCCTGGAGCCTCTTGTGGACTCCCAGCGACAGGGTCCCCCACCATGTGTACCGGGATGTCCGCTCACTTGGCCTTCAACGCGCCTCAACCTATCCGGCGGTCGCGGCTTCCTCCTGCTCCTCCTCCTCCTCCTCCTCCTCCTCCTCCTCCTCAGAATAACTTCTCCCTGTCGCATCCCGAGGCCAGTTTTTAGGGCGGGCCGGGCGTATCGCCTGAGAGTTCTTTACTATTTATGACCCTGGCGGGTGGTTTTCAAAATGTGGTTCTCGCCTTAGCGCCGCGCGCCTTCTATTTATAAGAATTGCAAGAGCTTCACAGATTTAGGGCGCTTCCTTTTCAAAATGTGGTTCCCGCCCTAGCGCCGCGCGCATTCGTTTCACACATATGCAAGAGCTTCACGGATTCCCATAATCAAAATACCAGAAATGGCGTTTTGGACGGATTCTGGATGATGAGGGCGCAACAGTTACGTTCGCTCGCGTTGTTGAAGTCCCAAGACTGGCGTTCTGGCACGATGAAGATCGCCAAAACGCAGCAGTCAGGTTGATCCGTGGCGTTGGAATCCCGAGAACAATGTTTTCGCATGCTTCAGGGTCTTCAACCGGTTGTCTTCCAACGAGGCAGTTCCCTCAATGGAAATGAACCGTTGTAGGGGCCTGTGAAGAGGGAGCTTGGACGGATGGTTTATCCCAACATCGTTGATGACTCTTGGGTGTACATGGTCCTCCTCCTCCTCCTCCTGATCCTCCTCCTCCTCATCCTTCTCATGCCCCCCCCCCTTCGCCGCGATGGCGGGCGCGCGCCCCCCCCACCCCACCCCCGCGCGCCGCGCCAGGTGTGCAGGAGCAGCCCTGGCGCGGCGGCGCTGCAGGCCGTGGTCGACTCGGAGCTGGTGCAGGCGGGAGGGGCAGCAGTCAAGCCGAGAAAATTCGGCCAGGCTGCACCCCAGACGCGTTCGCGTCGTGCAAACAAATCAGAGCGGGAGGGTTTCTCTCATCGTTTTCGGCCTCCGGGAGCCCTCACTGGGCCCTGGGACCGTCATCAAACGACTCAGAATGAGAGGCCCTGTCCTGGGGAAAGGGTCGGACTTCCGGGGGCCGCGTGTTGAAGAAACGCAGACATCGGAGGCCTGGGGCTCGGCCAGCTGAACTCGGCCACGCCGGGCCCGGCAAGCCGACTCCGGCCAGACCGAACCCGGCCAAGCTGAAATGGGCCCGGGCCGAATTCAGCCTGGCCGAGTTCAGCTGACCGAGGTCAGCCTGGCCGAGTCTCGCCTGGCCGAGCCCTTCCCCTGTCAGAGGGGGGGCCCTCCCAGCGAGCGCACGTGGCGCCCACGGGGCGGGCACCGGGCGACACTCCAGCCCGCCCAGCCGGCGCACGTGGCGCCCACTGGCGGGCACGTGGCGAGGTTCTGGCCCACCCAGCCAGTCGCCTAGAAGCACACAAGTGAGAGACTTACAAGTGCAAGCACTCTTTGGGGAACATCTTGTGAGAAAAAGAGGGAGAGAGAGAGAGAGAGGAAATATAGCAACGTCCTTTGCAAACCGCCCCATTCTGCTTACCCTCCCTCCCTCCTCCTGCCCTCCGCTCTTCGCCTTGGCGGGGGTCATGGAGAGAGGGCGCTTTGGCTGGCCCCGAGAGCTCTGACCAGCGAGCGGGGTCCACGTTCGGAGCGGCTGCGCAGCGTCTGGGCCAAGGGCCTGGGACGGGGGAGGCGGAGCGCGGGCAGGGGGAGGAGGAGGAGGACGACGGGGCCAGGGGATGGGGAAGGAGGAGGACGACGAGGAAGAAGTGGAGGAGGAGGAGGAGGAGGAGGAGGAGGAGGAGGAGGTGAGGAACAAGAGCACGGGCACAGGGCAGGAGGACATGCAGCCGCCGCAGCAGCAGCAGCAGCAGGAGGAGGAGGAGGACGAGGAGCGTGCTTGCCCGATTGGCGGTCCGATGTGGCCCCGGCAGGCGCTGATGGAGCGGGTGCTGTTCGTGTGGTCCACCCAGGACGCATTGCCGAGATTTCTTCCTGGGGCGAGCTCATGCGTGTGTGCAGCCTGCTTCATAACCAGGCATTGCTGTCTCTCTTTCTCTCACTCTCTCGCTGTCTGCTCCTGTCTCCCACCCTATATGTTGTTGTTGTTTTTCTCTCTTACTCTCTCTCTCTCTCTCTATCTCACTCTCTGGGGCTCAGGCCGACCTCTGGCTCAAGACCCACCGAATCCTACAGGCCAATCCAGACATGTTCAAAACCCAGAATCCTGAAAACCACCTGGGCGAGCAAGGCATAGCTACATGATGGGCGCATCGCGTCAATTGCTGACGACTTTAACTGCCACGCCGACGAGCTCGCCACTGCTGGCGCATGCCTGTACGCCCTTCCACAAGACCTCACCGTCGCCGCCAAGTGGCGACATAAGTTCGCTGCTGATCTCACTTGCACGGCCGTCGCCATCTATGACCGACGTCACCAGACACTCCTTTGCCTGACAGAAGAGCAGAGCATTCTACTCCAGGACTCCGCAAGATAAAACCTCACCCTCTCACCACAGTCCAAGGCGGGAACGAGCCACTTGGCTCATCGGGTGGCCACGACCACCCAGACGGTCCATCAGGACTTGACTACTTCGACCACCTCGATGGTCCGTAGTCTGGCTAGCTCGACTATTTCGACGAAGACAACCTGGATCTGCTCGGGCTTGGCGTCTCCACGAATGACGGTGACGGCGACCGCGAGCGCAAGGACCACGCTCACCCGCAAGACGCGTGCCAACCGTGCCCCTCCACGGGCTGGAACAGGCGGCTGGTGATCCCCCCGCCCAGCCATCCGTCACCAGCTCCCACCACCAGCACGCCAGCTCCTCCGCCCACCAGGGTACGGAGAGCAGCGAACGGCCAAGCGCCACCACGGGCACAGGGCACGGATTGTCGCGAAGCCGGCGGTCCGACCGCAAGCAGACCTTCACGCAGCACTTCTCGGCTGCCACGCAGCATCCTGCTAGCCCCCACGCGCTGCACCAGCGAGCCGACCACCTCGTCAAATCTCTTCAGCACGTCCACGAGCAGTCAACTCCGCTGCTCGTCAGGTCCCACCGTGCGCAAGCGGCCTGGGACGACTCGCAGCAGGCCATCTGGCCTGCCGGCTCCCTCTGGGCGTCCGTCCAGGGCAGTCTTCAGGGCCTCTTCGTTGCACAGCGCGCGGCACACCAGTGGTAGCGCTCTGGTCTTCATAACCTATTGGCCCCGGTTCCATTGTCCCCCTGTGAGGCCGCTGCGGGGGCTTCCCCCAAAGCGGCGCCGCTATCGCCAGGGCGCCGTATCACGCATGCCAGAGCGTGAGCACAGCCGGCGTCTCGCTAGACGCCGGTGCGCAAACAGAGTGCCCCGCCCATGTTTGACAATCGGGGCCCCCACAGACCGCGCCCGGAGGGATGGTAGCCACACCCCTGCTCGCACAGCGGCACCTCCCGCCACGCGAGGTTTGCGCGGAGGGCGCTTGCAGCCCACGCGCAAGACGGACTTCGGCTTGTCGAACTGTTGCGATATATGTCTCTCTATCCCTCTCCCTCTGTTTTGTTTTTTTCTCTCTCTCTCTCTCTCTCTATCCCTCTCTCTCTCTCTCCCTTTCTCTCTCTCTCTCTCTCTCTCTCTCTTATTATATGTCACACTCTCTCTCTCTCTTTTTTCTTGTTCTCTCTCTCTCTCTCTCTTTCCCTCTCTCTCCGTCTGTATAATTCCCTAGCTCTGCTTGCACTCAGGGGTTCTTGCTTGTTTGTCATAAGGAACTGGGCCTGTCTGGCGGTCCGGCAGCTCCGTGGTCGCCGTAACCGCCTCGTCGCCGTCTCGTCGCCGCCCGTCGTCTGGATCTGTCTGGCGGTCTGGCGGCTCCGTGGTCGCCGTGGCCGCCCCGCCGCCGCCTCATGAACGCCCATCGTCTGGGCCAGCGCGACGGTTTGGCGGCGCCGTGGTCGCCGTCGCCGCCATGTCGCCGCCCTAGGGTGCACAACATAGGCCCTCCTTTCTAAAGGACAACAGATCCCACCACCCTCCCGAGGGCGGGCTTCATGTCTCACCCTGGGGATGTGCAATTTACATACGATTCTGCCCCATCGGCTGTTCTAAGTATGAAATCATACGATCCCAGCCCAGCCGGTATCGACCCCGCCATCTTTCGCACAAAAAACACGTATGCGCGCACACCTGTTGATCAAAACTCGTCAAGTTGCAAGAATCGCGTGCAACAGATGCGACGAAGCACACGCGCGCGTCGTCGCGCGTGCATGCCGAAATCATTCAAAATCCGTGGGTTTCGCACAGATGTGAACATCGAGCGCCAGGATTTCGTACACAAAAAAGTTTGCAACGCCATGTTCCGAAAAGGTCTGCGCGCGTTCCTTCAAATTCTCAAGATGACCATTGGTCTCTCACAGTGCCCATCAAGTTCGACCAGACGTGCGCCTCACGCGCACATGCCGAAATCATTCGAACGCCCGTGCGCGCGTGCTGGAGGTCACGATCCCTGTCAGAAAACGCCATGCGGGCCACTCGCGCCCGCCGGCCTAGCGCGCACGTCCAAGTCCGGTTCACAACCTGAATCACCGATACGTGGATACCATCACCGTCACCGGCGTGATCAGCATCGGCGCCGTCATTGGCCTTGCCGTCGTCATCGTCATCGCCGTCACAAACAACGCTACCATCATCCTCGCGTCTGCAGCTGCCGACGTCGCCATGATTCTGGACGCCCGAAATGGGTACGGACAGAATGGATACGATGCCCAACAGCAGTTCCTCTTCATTTTGAATCGGACTCGCTGTCCGCGCCGCCGCGGCCTGTGTCCATTTGAGACACAAGGCCGCCCGCCCAACAGCGGCCGCTGTTGGTTTGGAACAAAATCTGTTGTTGGGCATTGTACCTATTTTTCCGTACCCATTTCGGGCGTCCAAAATGATACCACGCCCGCCCGAGTCACCGATTCGTTTTGATGTGCCCGCGCGCCAGCGCGGCCTGCGAGACGTGCTGGAGAGTCCCCAGCGGTCCGCGCCACCGCGGCCGCGTCCGTCGCGCCAAACTAGCTGGCCGCTCTGCGCGCGAGCCTGCGCGCGTTAGCGCGGCCGCAGCGATGCGCCAGCCAGCGCCGAGCAGTCATCGCAATTGCCGCCGCATTGGTTTCGCAGACACGTTGCGGGCCGGCGGGCGGGGCGATTGCGCGAGCAGTGGAACCGAATTCAATGCGAACACGAGTTCGTTTTTTGCATAGATTCTCCGCTTCGCTACAGAATTAAGATCTACCGCCCCCCGCCCCCCCTGGACATATCGACCCCCCTGTGGATGCGCTGTTCACGTGCGATTCTGCCTCATCGCCCATGGTGGATATGCACTCGTTCCATCCTAGCCAAGCCGTCGCCGACCTCGTTCCCGTCATCTTTTACAATTGCAACAACAGGGAAAAACATATCAAAACAAAAAAAGCACCTTGCGCGGACAGCCGCTGATCGCAATCAGTTCCCACAAATCCCTTGCAACAGATGGGGCACCACGTGCGCGTGGTCGCTTGGGCATGCCACAATTTCTTGTTAACCTCAGGCTTCGCACGGAACTCAAAATCGATTGCCCTGATCATACGAAGACAGCAAATCATAAGGTTGCGCAACATGTTGTTCCAAAAGTCGAGCGCGCGCGCGCTCTCGCGCTTTCCGAAGACAGCAATAGGTGTTTCCAATCTTTTTCATCAAATGCGACCGAATGGGCTTCTTGCGCGCGCACGTCGAAATCATTCGAACGCCCTTGCGCGCGCACGCGCTGAGGGGGAGAGGGGCTGGGTGGGGTTTGGGGGGCAAGGCTCCTGTCAAATTATGTCACGCGGGCCACCCGCGCCGTTCCGGATGATCTGTGCACCCCTGGTACGCCCTCGGCGCGGCGCAGTTGCCGAGACGCGGCCCGAGGGTGGGAAACCTTTCGAGCCGACGACAACGTCCAGCCCGATCCTGGAGCTCGACGTCCTCGGTCTTCCCCGTTCTCCTCTTCTTCCCGTTCCCACCCACCCACCCCGCACAGCGCACACACAGATGTCGGTGTAGGGCGCATTGACTGGAAGTACGTGTGTGCCGGGGACCACCCACAGGAGAGGAGGAGGGCCGCTGATGTTCAGTTCCTGCCCTCGCCTGGGTCCCCCTTGAGAGGGGGCACGCAGCCATAGATACCCACTCCTCCCCCGCACAGGAGCCCGCCGCCGGCTACGTGCAGGGCATGAACGACGTGCTCCTGCCCCTGCTCTTCGTGCTCCTCTCCGAGCGCACCGCCGCCCCCCTCGCGGAGGCCGCGCCCCACCGCCACCCACCGGTGGCCTTTCGGGGCGCCCCGCCGGCAGCCAGACAGACATCCTCCCAGATCAATGATGACGACGGCGACGAGCACGAGCACAAGGCAGAGGCGCGTCCCCCAAGCCGAAGCTTGCACTCAGAGCATCTAGCTCGCGTCGAAACAAGCCGGATGGGTCCGGCGAGGTCTCGCCACGTTGCCGCCTCGTTGCCGCTTCGCGCGCTGGTTGGGTCCGGCGAGGCTCCGCCACGTTTCCGTTTGCGGACGCCTCGCAGCCGCTTATTGCGCTGGGTGTGCCCCGCGAGGATTCGCCACGTTGCCGTCCGTGACCGCAGCGGGGCCGCCTCGCGCGCTGGGTGGGTCTGGCAATGTTTCGCCACGCTGCCGCCCTTGGCCGCATCGTGGCCGCCTCTTTGATGCACCACGTATACTGCACCACATAGCTTCCAACACATGGCTTGCACCACGTAGCTTACACATCCACCGTGCAATCATGTACTGTTTGGGGCCCAAGCTGGCTAGGATTTTCTTCGAGTGATATCCACCCGAGAACGCGAGGCGCGATCCCTGGGCAGCACCGGCACCTGTTGGGCCCGACGGCCGCGGCATGCTGCCGTCGTCGAAGACGCGAGGCGAGATCCCCAGGGAGTACCGGCATACTCTCGGCCTGGCGGCCGCGGTATGCAGGGTGCGCGAGGCGGGTCGGGAGTTTTTTCAAGAAGAAAGACTCAACACCCTCAAAGAGCCGGGTGGGTCACAATATTTC